ACACACACCACCACACACACACAAAGAGAGAGAGGACGGACGAGAGTGGGTAGGAGAGGAGGAGACCACCGAAGAAAAAAATAGGGAAAACCCATTCAAGCCCAGTGGGTGGGGAAAGAGGGCGGAGCTTCTACCCTGGGCCTGCCTCCAGAGCAGGGGCAGAGTCATAGTGATTCACTTTGGTATCCCCAGAAGAGTGAGGCTTGACACACAGTAGGTGCTCAATACACACTGGGCCAATGAATGAATAAGTGAATTACACATGAAGAGTGGGCAATAATAAGCAAGCCCCACTCCATCCTTGGCCAATTAAGGCACGCTTCAGAGCACTGCTTGGAGAGCTAGTGCTCACTTCATGGTCACCCCACCAGACAGGGGCCCTAGGAAAGAAGGCCTGGGTCTGGGTCATCAGTATCCCCTTATTCCTCCACCCTATCCTGCACCCTGGAAAGTCAGCTGACTTCAGCCCAGCCCAACACACCTCTCTTTCAGAGAGACCCCCATCTTCTTTCCAATCTTCCTATAAATAACTAGGTGGGGTCCCCAAAGAGGGTGGGGTATTTAATTCCCAGAGACTTGATTCTTTATCCAGATGAAACCCTGCCTTCTATACTCCTATGAGCCTCAGTCTGACACTTGCCAAATGGGTAGAAAGTAGACAAAAAGCTGGAAAGAGGGAGTAAGAGTTGGGGGTCATAGTGGGAACTCATAGAATATAGGCCTGGGCTGGCCTGGGCCCTGGATGCAGAATCCTCCCTTCCCCTTCCCTTCCCCCACCCAGCCCAGCCCTCCCGGGTGGACATTCCAGGCCTCACGTGATAAAGACGAGGCCGCTGGCCCACGGGTAAGTCAACAGGCTCTGTCGGCGGAGAGATAGGAGGCCCCAGCCAGGGTCACCTGCTGAGCCGGGAAAACAGCCGGGCCCAAATACACACATAAATAAGGCGCCAACAGCCAGCCAGTCAGCCAAGGGTCTTCTGCTCAGGAACCTCTGCCCCCACCTTGGAAAGGGAGGTGGTATGGGAGAGGGAGGTGCAAGGCTGGCTCCTGCTTCCCTGGGAGAGTCCCAGCTCCTGCCAGGATTGGAGGTGGAGATGGGGAGCGTGGGGCGGTGGGCTTCTACCAAGATCCCCAGGGCTGACTGAGAACTCAGAGGCCAACCTCCCTCAGCTGTTCCCACCCCTTCCCAGGGCAAAAATCACCCCCTCTCCCTCCTCCCCAAGGAGAGAGAACAATTTCCGTTCTGGGAAGGGGGTGACAGCTGCAGAGCGGGCCACTACCCCCCCTCCCCCAGCTCTTGCTTGAGTCTCATCCAGGGAAACTGCTAAATCAACACTACGCAGTAGTAGGTAGCGCTGGCCTCAGTCTCCCTGCATCGCTCTCAAAAAGGGGTTTGGGGAAGAGGCTTAGGGTCTCAGTTCCTGGGTTTTCTATGACGGCTGGCACCCAGCGTAAGGGGGTCTTTCTGGAGAGGGATCAAGGCAACCTTAAGGCAGTACACCCCACTAAAAACGTCTAAATGCTTTCAGTTGCATGGACAGCCACCCCCGCCCCCGCGGGCCAGGGCAGCTGAGGTGGCGCCGGGCGTTCAAATAGCGCTCCAAACAAGTCCGCAGCGACCGCGCACGCAGCCCCCGCCAGGCGGCCCCAGCGGAAAACTTAAAAGGGACTCTGTTTGCCGGCCGCCCTGGGGCGGCTCCGGCAGTGGCGAGGGCCGAACGATCGCACACGCCCCCTCCTCAGCGCTTCCTGCGCAAACGCGGGGGTGGGGGTGGGAGGAGGTGGCCCTGCGCCCACCACAAAATCAAGGACTCCGAACAGCGCCCTCGGCGCAGGGAAAGGCGGAGGTCAAGAGGCTGTCTAGCCAGAGCCCCCCCTCTTCAACCCCTTCAATCCGAAGACGCGACTCAGACCACCCAAGGTCCAGGGGGCAGAGCAGGGCGCAGAGCAGGGCGCGGCTGCCAACCCTTTGGACTCCCATCGCAGGACACAAGAGGGAACGAGTCTTTCCAAATGAGTCCCTACAGAACCCCTCAAATATGCTGGTGCCTCCTTGCAGCCCATGGCACCAGCCCAACTCCGCGCGCCCCTTCTAATTCCTAACGGGGGAAGAAAAGCGATCTTGCTCCCTCATTGGGCGCTTCAGCTCTTCTGACAGGTCTTGGAGGCGGCCCCCCGTTTAAAAACTGGGGTCACTCACTTTCTGTTGATCCTACAAATAAACAAAGCCAGGCGCACCCCGCGCTCCCCGCCGGAAAGCAGCCCATTCCGGACGAGGACAACTTCCCCCAGCAAGAAAATTAACACATTCTTCTCGTGGCGGTTCAGCCCCTCGCTCTGGGGAAGTAAAGGGGAGGGGGGCTCGGGGCCGAACTTCACGGGTAAATTTGGGGCCAGAGCAGCGAGGCAGGCGTCTGGAACACCCGCCTCCCACAGCTCCGCAGCTAGAGGAACACCCCCATTCTCCCTCCCTGGCTTTGCATGCTGCTTGGCCACGCGGGGCTCGGGAGACAGCCTGAAAGACTCCCCAAGGCTGGGGCGGAAGGCAGAGACAGAGGCGGCGGGGAGGATTGATGGTGGGGGGGGGGAGTGATACTTGACGGGAAAAAAAAGGTCAAACTTGATCAGCCCGCCAGGCACCCAGAGGGCAGCGGGAGTGAGGAGCCGGAGGGTAAATGTAGAAGTGGCCATCGACCTCGCTAAGTGAAGACGGAGGCTCAGCCACGCGTGCTCACGGGCCTTACGAGCAATTATCATCGCCCCCAAAACACAGGGCTGCGAATGGGGTCTGCTGGGGGGAGTGCGCGCCGGAGATCTCCAATCAGCCGCCCCCGCAGGCGGAGCGCCCGCCCAACGCCGAGAGGTGAGGACCCGGGGTCCAGCCGCCCCTGCACCCTCAAGCTCGAGTACTTGGGGAGGGGACGGTACCCCGCAGGAGAGCCCCGGCCCCAATCAACGGCGCCCAAGCCTCCGTTCCCGACCCTAAAACCCCTCTTTTTGTCTGAACTCAGTGATCTGCGACCGAGCTGACTGCGGCTTGGGGAGGCTTGAGTATAGCAGAGGCCACTGAGCGATCACCGGAGCTAGGGCTCCCAGCCTCCGGGGCTCCGGGACTCTGGTTACGGGCGCCCCCCGCCCCACCCAAACACGGACCCCTCCTTTCCCGTCCCTGGCTCTCCGCACCTGAACTTCGGGGGAGCCCGCGCCGCCAAACTTTCCGCCGACTTGCAGCGAACTCCGGCCCCGGCCGCGCACCGGGCCCCGGGGGAGGAGAGGGAGGTAGGCGGGGAAGGGGAGGGGGCCGGCCTCCGGGGGGGTCGGGGGAGGGCCGTGGCCCGACACCTACCGGCTCTCTGAGTCGTCCGAGCCGCCACTGCCGCCGCCGCCGCGAGGCCGAGGGGGAGGGGCGGGGCGGGGAGCTGCGCTCCGCTCTGGGCACCGCCGCCGCGGTGCGCTCCGCTCCAGCCGAGCTGCCCGCCGTGCCCGGGTCCGGAGCCGGAGTCACGCCGCCGCGGTTGGCCGGAGGCGGGGAGGAGGGGGGAGCCTGCAGCACCTGCCCCTCCTCCCCCTCCCCGCGGCCCAAATTAAAAAACAACAAAAAGCAACTAATCACCCCCGAGCGAAGCGCGGCGCGGCTGGCGGAGGGCGCAGCGTGAGGCGCCCGGACTCAGCAGGCGGCGCGCATGGCTGGGCGCGGGCTGGGCAGGGCTGGGACGCGGGGCCCGGCTTCGGAGAACAAGGTTCGGCAGCTCTTCTCGCTCAGCTCGGGCGCCTGGTCTCGCCACCGCCGCCGCCGTCTCTGCTGCCGCCAGTGCCGCCGCCTCTACATCCCCGCTCAGGCTCCGCCGCCTCTGCCGCCGCCGCCGCCGCCGCCGCGCGCCCGCCCGGGCAGGAGCTCTGAACGCTGCCCGGGGGCTGCCGGCAAAACCCGGACCGGACTCATCGCTTCCTCC